TACTAAATATTAGTGCTTCAAAAGAATCCAGTACTCTGGGATTAACTTTTTTTCTAAAAATTGACTCTTCCCCAACACCCTACCAGCTTACTTGGTCATGAAGGTCAAAATATGTGACAGACGAAATTTCGAAACTTTTAAGCTTATAATTTAAACATTTCTAAAATTATAAATTGAGCTTATTTTTAACCTCGGATCACCGGTCATGATGCGCCGAACTTTGAAAGTTGAACTCAGACTGCTTGGTTAACACAATTGATTTTTAAGTATCTTCTCCGTAGTTTTTTCGATTGTCGAAATGTAAGAACCGTCTTGACTCATATATAAAGTTATGGCCAAAATACAGCGGGGTTTAAGGCCCTGGACAAATTTCCTGTTTTAAGGCACACATTTGAAATTTTGTTCCACTAGACTTTCTTGTGTCAGCCAGCCGAAGCGTTTAAGTTTCTCTTTCCTCGTTTGATCTTGTTTATCAGTACTACGCTTTAATTTCGCAGACAAACAGAAAATCAGGTCTCTCTTTCAGTTCTGCTGCTTCTCTAGATTTTAAAGCTTGTTTCGATTTGATAATACACTCGAAAATGATTCGTGTAATCCATTTTGCAGTAATCCGGTATCATCTATGTCTGGTTCCTCAACTTTGCCGCATTCGATGACTTGGGCACCACAGATGACTGCCGGTCAGTTCCAGTCAATGCAATCACTCGATCAGCGTGGTCTGCCGGCTATATCTTATTATCCTGTACGTCCCTCTCCCACTCCTTTTCCAGCAACAGTGAGATGAGATCTTCAGTTCATCGTTTTATTGTAGATTTACTGCAAATGCAACTATAGATTTGGATACTGTTGCAGATCGGGCTTCCTTGACAAGTTTCATCGCATTTCCTACGCATATTAGTCTTTTTTCAGGCATTCCAACTTTTGAACTTCACGTTAAATGGAAATTTTTTCAGATCCCGTTAGTGGCCCCTTCTGCTTCAATGCCGTATGGACTTAGCTCCCCGTATCTGTTATCGCCCTATCCATCGATGCAGCTACCAAGGCATACCTCAGAGCAGCAAATCCCGGCCACTAATCCGAACATTCCTGGAAGCCCTCCTGAAGGGCAAGATCTCAATGCTTATCAGCTCAGTTTATCGTTAGATCAGGTATCACTCCTATATTTTTGAACGGTTTAGTTTTGTTCCTTTCAAAATCTCTTCTTTTATTACTAGCGCGCGATGAGTCACTTCTGAACAGCAAGCATCGTGATTTGCCAACGGTAGTAGCCTGGACAATCGGAACGTGATGTCCCTTAGCAATAGTCAGAACCAGGGGGCATTGCATCGGATGACTGTTGCAAACCACTGTCCTTCTAGTCAGTTGGTCGTAATTCAGTAAGGCTATGAGAACTGTATTGATATTTTGTTGAAACTGACAGAAACGAGATTTATCTACATAAAGAATGCAGCGACATCCGGTTATTTTAGTAAACCTCTCATAACTCCTCTACTCCTCTTCTATAACCATTTGCGAGACAGTCCAGCTGGCGCCCATTTAACTGTGCAAAACGCAATAGATTCTTTGTCTGCCAGTGCTTCAGAAAACACATAGGAGTATTAAGCGTGCCAAGTAACAATGAGGTACTCGAGCAACTTATTTTGGAAGCTGATAAAAAATTGCGCAGATATGCGGGATTATTTAAGATGGGCATGGAACAGCTCGTATCTTCATGCAAACATCGTTTTGGCGCATAGAGTTAAGGGATTAGTATTCTTAATGGACTTCCGAGCTATAGTGACGCATCTTCTTAAATATAATAACGACCGTA